TGAAATAAAATAATCATGCTAAGGATATCATCCCAATAATAAAATATTATGATCCGGTTGGTTGAGATGTTCACACTAAGGATATCAGCCTAATAATAACATATTAAAACAATGTTAATTTTCTTCTGTATCCTTGACCTTTTTTTAATAAATACATATGATCATAATAAAATATATTATGATCCAGTTTATTGCTCATTGATATAATCACACTGAGGATATTATCCCAATATTAAAATATTAGAATCCAGTTGATTGAGATACGATATCATCCCCATAAATAAAATATTGGGATTCAGTTCATTGAAATAATCATGCTAAGGATATCATCCCAATAAATAAAATATTATGATCCAGTTTATTAAAATAATCATGCTAAGGATATCATCCCAATAATAAAATATTAAAACAATGTTAATGTTCTTCCATATCCTTGTTCTTATTTTTTTTTTATAAATAAAATGAATAATAATACAAAAAATATATTAGGATACAGTTCATAGAGATAAACACTTTAAGGATATCATCCCAATAAATAAAATATTATGATCCAGTTTATTAAAATAATCATGCTAAGGATATCATCCTAATAATAAAATATTAAAACAAATCCAGTTAATTAAAATAATCATGCTAAGGATATCATCCTAATAATAAAATATTAAAACAATGTTTATTTCTCCTATATCCTTGTTCTTTTTTTTATATACATAATAATAATAATACAATATTATGATCCAGTTCGCTGTTATAAACATGGGATATCATCCCAATTATTGAAATTAACCTCTAAACACAAAGACATGAAACCTCTGGAACGCTGACACCCTCCCCTGTCCTCTCAGGTGCCAACTGTCACTCAATTTCCACCCTTCAGCCTCAACTCACAATCCTCTCCCACCAGGACAGCAATCTCTTATTTATTATTTGAAACTTAAATGTTTATTTTATTTATTTATTTGTATTTACCATTTTGTTTCCGAAAAAAAAAAAAAGAAGAAGGATGTGTAAACTTCCCGCCTTTCTGCCAGGAGGGGGAGCAGCTGAGATCCTTTCGGGCGAGAACATGGAATACAAGTAGGAGTTAAAAAGAAAAAAAAAAAAGAAAAGAAAAAAAGAGAAAGTCCCACTATAGAGAGAGCTGGAGAACAGCAGGCAAAGATTACCTGTGCTTCCAACACACAGACACCGAGGAACTACTACTTCCTAGAGTTGGGCTTTTATTATTATTTTTTTATTAGGGAGGGGGGGGGTCACCTTGTTCTTTTTTTAAATTTTTTGATCCCGCATTTCATCTTTTGGTGCTGCAATATCTACAGCAAGGCACCCATTGAGAAGATGAGAGTTGAACCCCTGGAGCAGGTCATGGTGTCCTCCTCCTGAAGATCTTGGCTTGGAGGACCTTGATGGAACTTTTGGATTAGCTGTGACAGGAGGGCTCCTGCGCCACCAGCCTAGCCCGGGGACGCAGATCGCTCGGAGGACACCTGAGGGGCCACCGCCAGCGGGAGGCGAGCCCCCAAGCCCCCGGGAGAGCCCTCTACTTCTCCGGCCGGGGGGACCAGCTGCGGCTCAACTGCAGCAGCCCGCTGCCCAGGGACGCCTTCACCTTAGAAGTTTGGCTCAGAGCCGAGGGAGGACAGACGTCCCCGGCAGTAATCGCAGGTAGGTCGCCGCTGACTGGGAGGCTTCCAGGCAGCAACTTGCAGCATGTGTTTGTGTGAGCACCCCCCTCCAAAAAAAATGAATTGTAAATGTGTGTGGCAACGTTGTCGTTAGAGATTGGTCGGCCGATTTAGTGTTCGGCTTTATTTGCAAGGCTTGTGGTGCTTTGTGCGTCGGGCGCTGCGAACGGGCTGCCGACGCAACGCGCAGAGCGAGAGTACCTGTGCCGTGTTTGTACGGGGTATGTTGGCAGCTACTGTACTTGTGAGTTTGGGGTGCCATTCTCAAAAATGGGGGTGCCATCCTCTGTGAATGGGGTGCCATTCTCAAGGGATGGGGTGCTGCTTTCAATGAAGGGGGTGCCATTCTCAATGAATAGGGTGCTGTTTTCAATGAAGGGGGGGTGCCATCCCCTATGAATGGGGTGCCATTCTCAAGGGATGGGGTGCTGCTTCCAATGAAGGGGGTGCCATTCTCAAGGGATGGGGTGCTGCTTCCAATGAAGGGGGTTCCATTCTCAAGGAACGGGGTGCTTTCTTCAATGAAGGGGTTCCATTCTCAAGGAACGGGGTGCTTTCTTCAATGAAGGGGTTCCATTCTCAAGGAACGGGGTGCTGTCTTTAATGAAGGGGGTTCCATTCTCAAGGAACGGGGTGCTGTCTTTAATGAAGGGGGTGCCATTCTCAAGGGATGGGGTGCTGTTTTTAATGAAGGGGGTGCCATGCTCAATGAATGAGGAGCCATTCTCAAAGAATGGCCCACAATTCTTTGAGAATGGTACCCCATTCTTTGAGTATGGCACCCCCTTCATTGAGAATGGTACCCCATTCATTGAGTATGGCACCCCGTTCTTTGAGGGTGGCACTCCATTTATTGAGTATGGCACCCCATTCTTTGAGTATGGCACACCCCGTTCTTTGAGTATGGCACCACAACCCCCACCTGTGAAGCTAGCTGACATTTTTGGGGGTTTTAGATAGGGCAGGAAAGGGTTAAAAAAATTTGGGACACCACTGTGCCACTGGGGAGAGTTCCCTTCACTTCCTGTCCCATGGACTGAGCAGGAAGCGAGAGAAAATATCTCTTGGAGTGCTCTTGGAGTTGTTACTAGAACTTTTAGGGCAGGAAAGTGTTAAAAAAAATGTGGTCACCTCTGTCCCATTGGGGAGAGTTCCTCTGGCTTCCTGTCCTCTAGACCAAACAGGAAGTGAGAACCCTCCAAATTAAGGAAAATACTCTCTTAGTTGTCACCGGAGCAGGTGTCCCCATTGAAAGATTTCCCTTCTATTTTTAGTCTGGTGACAACGTAAAATTTAGCATTCAGCCTCAGTCACTCGGACGGCGGCGGGGGTGGAATGCCTGCGTCAGGATGGCCACTTATAGTCTCCACCATGAGTGTTTGTTCGCAGGGTGACAACAGAGGAGTGCAGTTAGGAGATGGGGCAGAGCGTTGTCACCTTTTAAGAGGAAGTGCCCAAGCAGGTGTTTGCATGGCAGGATCACAAGGTCAGAACGGGGGGCGTCAGGATGGTGGTTTGTATTCACTTTCATGAGTGCATGTAGCAGGGTGACAACATGAGCGTGCAATTAGGAGACAGTGAAAAGTGTTGTCACGCTTTAAGAGGAAGTGTTTGCATGGCACAATCACAAGGTCATAATGGCTGCGTCAGGATGGCCACTTTTAGCCGTCACCATAACTGCATATTAGCAGGGTGACAACACAAGAGTGCAATTAGGAGACTGGGAAAGAGCGTTGTCACCCTTTAATGGGGAGTACCCTAGCAAGGATTTGCACAGCAGGATCACGAGGTCAGAATGGCTGCGCCAGGATGACCGCTTATATTCTCCTCCACAAGTGCACGTTAGCAGGGTGACAACATGGGAGTGCAATTAGGAGAATGGGAAAGTGCGTTGTCACCCTTTAAGAGGAAGTGCTCGAGCAAGCTTTTTCGTGGCAGGATCACCAGGTATTATTTTCATAAAAGATTAAAAATGACTCTGGAAATGATGTGAATATGTTCAGGCTCACATGAGATTTTACTGGTTGTGTACTTTAAGTAGCGGGAAAATCTGGACGAGTGATTGGCTGATAAAAAAATTGTGCAATCAAGTCGCTGGTGTAGCTCTGTATCTGTAATGCTTAGCGGAGGCCGGGCGGCCCATCGCCCGCAGGGGCTGCTCTGCCAATCTGAACCTGGTGCAGAGAAGGGGGGGCCGTGACTTGGGAAGCTCCTGCTGAAAGTCAGCTGCAAGTGCCGAGTGACAGCTAGAGCCACGGCAAGCTGACCCTTCTGGTGGAGGTAATGGTGGGGGTGGTGGAAGTGGTGGTGCTTGAGGTGGTGGTGGACGTTTTGGTGCTGGAGGTGGTGGAGGTAGTGGTGGTGGAGATGGTGGGGGTATGATGGTGCTGGCAGTAGAGGTAGTGATGATGGTGCTGGAGGTGGTGGTAGAGGTAGTGGTGATGGTGCTGGAGGTGGTGGTAGTGGTGGTGCTGGAGGTGGTGGGGGTTGTGGTGGTGCTGGAGGTAGTGGTGGTGGAAGTAATGGTGGTGGTGGAAGTGGTGGAGGTGGTAGTGGTGCTGGAGGTGGTGGTGGAGGTAGTGATGATGGTGGAGGTAGCGATGGTGGTGGAGGTAGCGATGGTGGTGGAGGTAGTAGTGGTGGTGGAGGTGATGGTGCTGGCAGTAGAGGTAGTGATGATGGTGCTGGAGGTGGTGGTAGAGGTAGTGGTGATGGTGCTGGTGGCAGTGCTGGTGATGGTGGCAGTGGTGGTGATGGTGGCAGTGGTGGTGATGGTGGAGGGACACAGGGGCATTGACCACTCTCTACAAAACTCTAGAAATCCGGGAGGACTTTTGCACTCATTTGGGGGGAATGTCAGGAATGCTGAACTTTTTGCCGCGGCTCCCCGCTCCTTCACAATCTCCATGCACGGTGTCCTGGCCGGTAGTTCGGCGTCCCCGATGAAAGGAGAATCTGTTATGCGAGCAATTAGGAAAGGAGAAAAAAATAAAAGGGAAAACAAGCCGGCTGGATGTTTGATGTGCGGCGGCGGCATTTCATGTGAAAGTGAAGGAATGCGAGGAGCCTCCACATGGGCTGTTATTTTATTGACAATGTAAACATACATGTGTTGT